AGACTGGTCACGATAGGAGAGAGTCAGAAGAGGAGCAAGTGTCTTTTCCCTACCTGGATTTCCCCGGAGCCTTTTCCCTGTCACCGCTTTGTATATAGCACTACCCCTTGCACTATTTGTATATACACCTGGTGGAACTGCAATAAATACTAACTGTGCCTCTGAGTCCTGCGTGTGAGTCCTCGAGCGAACCGTGACAGTTGTATTATTGTATTATTATTATATGTATTATTTAAAATTACTTACACATGATTTAAATTTACATATATTTTATTTATTATTTATTAGTTTTACCCCCATATTCTACTGTACTTACTTTAGGTGTTTGTAAGTTAATAGAATTACATATACTTAGAGGGGACTTAATCCCTCAGTCACAGGCCACATTATAAAGTGTTACCATGAGGTCTCATCGTTGTTTATGATAATAATCATTTTTGATTAATATTGTTTTTAATATTGTCACCAGGGTCTCAGAATTTTCAAGCAAATCAAATACTTTAGTAATTTTAAAGTGAGTATCATCAGTATCTTTACAGAGGACAAAGAGGAGTGTCTTCACTAACACTGTGTTTCTGTCTTTACAGCTCCTCACAGCAAGGCAAACAGACACTCCAGCCTGCATACCAATAATTAATGCATGCTGAGATACAAACTGTGTACACTTTTGTTAGACAACTTTCATAGTTAATTTGTCAAACTGTTACATTTTATGTGTTTTTTGGTGAGGGTTACGTTATCACAGCTCACACATCACAAACACAATATTCTAATATACTTCCCACCTTCATCTTTGAAGAAGAAAACTGTAAATACCCAAAGAGTCTGTGTTCACCCGTAACGGGTTATTTACAGGTGAATGCTGACTCAGTGGAGATGTTTCCATCAGCTGCCTCTAGCTTTATTCCAGCTTTACTACATTTTTAAAACATTATTCATTTGTTTGTATTGAACAATGACATCTACAGACTTCTTTAGATTTTAGACTTATTTTAAGCCCTGTAATTTTGACTATTGGACTTTTGGAGTCACTGTTTTCTAATGTGTAGGCACAGTCTGGTTTTATATTATTTTAACTGAAATTAAACTTGCTATGTGGATTTCTGATACTTCTCTTTTACTCTTTGACTTCCCAATTATATTTTTCAAATTTCATCTTGTTCTAATATGATGCATAATCAGCTGATGAAAATAGATGTCATGAACAGAAACACACTAAATGTGTGAGGATGTATGAAACCTGTAACAAACACATGCCACCCAACAATTTTCATTTCAGTGAATCCTCAGGCTCAGTGTGTGTTTTTCCATGTTACCACCAGAGGGCAACACAAATCCGACATCTCTGCCATAGCAAAAGTCCCAACAGAGGAAACAGGCTGTCAGTGTGTTTCCACACCTCTGGCTTTTCAGAGGGTTTATGTTTTTTAAGGAAAACATTAAATTTGGCACTGAGATTAGTCTTTTATTGTTTTGTTCTGTTTTATTCTAGGGGAGTTATACCTATCAGAGGAAAGATAGCTTCAGTCTTGTTGTTGTCAGAATAATGATCCAGTAAAAAATAATAAGGAATAATATTTGCTGATATATTTAGATTTAAAACTGGGGAAAGTAAATTATTTAAGTTAACATGATTTCGTATAAGTTGGAAAACTGTCTCAATCAAACACAGACAATCATGTTTCTTACTGGAAGAGCACAGATGTAGTTTTTTTGTGCCTTTGAACAGTTATTTTGTTGCTTTGTTTTTTCCTATTGATTTGTATCAATCTGATGAGTTTATGTGCTGATAAACATCTTAATCAGTCCAGCAGCTAAATACTTCCATTCCACAATTTTATACATTTTATATTTTGTGAGGATTTACTAATTGATTTTGTGAATAATTACTGTATTTGCAAAACGTGTGATTTGAGATAAAAATCGGAAGCTTCACATCTGATTGGTTCCAATTTCTCTTCTCTATGCAGGTTGTACTCACACACTCGTAGTTCTGTTATTAGTTTTAGGGCTATTTTAGTCAAATCCAAAGTGCAGTTCAAACACTAAAAAACTATAAATGTTTTTTTCATAGTTGGAGAAACACAGGAAAGACAGATGTCAGACGCACTCCCAGACAGACAGACATTTGAATCAATCAATATCCTTGTCACTGAGTAAAGTCTACTTCAAGTTCACACGTTCTCAGGGGCGTCTGCAGCCGGCTGCTCATTTTGTCCAGGGGAACTCCGCTGACCCCTGAGCTGCTGCTGGGGATTGTCCCGATGCAAATCAGGAGGGAGAACCAATTCATCGCAGCACAATTCGATTAGACATCTGCATATTGAGCATCTGCACCCCTCGAAAATCTGCCAATACCTACCCTCCTCCCCCTCGCTGGCCCCCCATGAGGGTAGCCCCCACGACCCCGGGGCCAGCCTGTGTCCCTGCTCCCCACCCACCTCCCCTTGTCTCCCTCTCTTGTCCCCTCCTGACCCTGTCAGGCCCGGCTACAATACCTGACCCCGCCCCAGAGACGGGACAAGTGGAGTTCAAGGTAAATGTCCCTTTCTCTGCGTCCGTCTGCGCCCTGCCCTGTGTGGCCTCTGTCCGGCCGTTGTCCGATAATCACATGCACCGCGCTTTTTTTTCCATACTTTCTCACACACAGACACACACACACACTCTTTTTTTTTTTAGAAGACATGACTTCATGACATGAAGGCTTTCCTTTCTCTGAAGCTCTTCCATTGTAATCATTTCTGGCTGCTGGCTCTTATTCAGACGTTTCTGCTACTCTTTTTTTTTATTGATTCATCAGCCTCTTTCAGTGCTGAGGGAAAAAAGAGTGAGGATGTCAAGAAGTTTAAAGCAACTAAGAACTGAGCCTTACCACACACAACGCAAAGTTAAGATGTGATCTCCAAACCTTAAAATCTATTAGACATTAAATTATAATTTTAAGCGTTTAAAGCATAGAAAAGCCTCAGAATGCATTCAAAAGATGATCAGATTTATTCACATTTACTGTTTCACACACACAAAAAAGAAACTTTAGCTCTGTGGCGCAAACATGTCGCTACATGATCTGATACTCTGTGTCCACAACAGACTTTTACACTAAAAACAATAAATGAATCTCTGAAAAGTCCAAAAGCTAACCATCCACGCGATGGTAACTTACAGACTGTGTCTAGATTTTAAGGTGTCCACCCTGATAATAAATGACTTTTGACTACTGACATATGAAATCATGTATGCGGCCAGCACGACAAGGATCAATTTAAAAATAATTTCCTTGATATTTAACAGGGATGTTTAGGTTTAGGTCTTTTGAATTTTTGACTGATGAAAGTTTTCTTCCATCTTTGAGTCATTTATTCTGCAGTGCTGTAGGATGC